CTCAAATGAAAGGCAATTAAGAGTAGATTGCAGATATTGTATCTTTTTTCTGATTCGAGCCTCGTAAAATTGAAAATGTCCGTCTAATGTACGATTTCGCAATGATTTTTCGATTCCTTCAAAGTATGGCTATATTATACTCAAATTGAAGGAATCTTGGAGTAGATCGCAATTATGGTATTATTTTTCAGATTTGTATCTCCGAAAATTCAAAATGGCTGCTTTGCAGGAATTCGCAATTCTAAAATATATTTTTTCAATTTTAACCAAAGTAATGAGTATAATTGAATGGAATTCGGTAATTGATATTTTGTTCGTTGGGATTTGCTACTACTCCGTGGAGTTGCCGTTATCTAGTTAAAACCCCAACTTATTATTCAATTTCAAAATTAGCAATCTTCCGTAATGTCTGTATGGGAGATCTCCCGTGGGGTATTCTACCGCACTTTTGCCTTGGGCGTCAGATCTCTGCGATCTACCAAGCATGGTCGGGTGTCGGATACCTCAGCTTTTTAGGCAAGGGGCTATCTACCACACAATTTGCCTTGGGTGTCAGGTCTTTGCGATCTACCAAGCATGTTCGGGAGTCAGATACCTCTTTTCATCATGGGGCTATCTACTGCACTATTCGCCTTGGTTGTCAGGTCTTCGCGATCTACCAAGCATGATCGGGAGTCAGATACCTCATCACCCTTTCTGTCATGGGAGCTATCTACTGGGCATATCCGTCTGTCTGATCTGCAGCATGTGTACAGGTGTCAGATACCCCAACTATTACGTAATACTTTGTTACGTGACACATGATCCTAGCTTGAGAACGAACGTGAGTTTGAATGCTATTGATATATGTTTAGTTAGCATCATGTATCAAGTGCCGCCCCAAGCCAAAGCAAAATAATGTTAAGTTTTTGTATTCAATCGCTTTAATTGTACTTATCTACTGATTTAAATAAATCTGTTATCTTTAAATATTCTGGTTTTGTTATTATACAAATAGTGACTGCCATTGAGGGAAATAGTGCAAAATAATTTCCTCAAGGGAATATCCTGTCCACTGACATGTTCCCGAGGCTGCAGGCCTGATATATATACCTGATAAATACTCTGTAAACAATAACAAAATGAGAAGTCTTTTCATTTCAATATCAAATGTTCACAGGTTCTTATTGGCATTTAAAGGCATTTTACCTTTCAACTCCTATAATCTCAGATTTGGGGGAAGATAAAACGTACTATTGACTGGTCACATGACCTAACTGGTGATCAGTACAATTCATCTTCCCTGAAAGCGGGGATTTAGGACTTTCCAGGGAATTAGTTCATCTATTCCATGTCATGTGACCATGAATAAGCCAATGAGCATTTAGAATACATTTGAGGTATATAATAATTATAAATAATTGCTAACATTTTTTAAATTACCATCTTATTTTTTAAAGATTTCACCAGTTATTCACAATATTTATGCCATGTGCCTCCAAGAGTTTAGTAATATTATACATCATTTTGAAAGTGTTATGACTGATAAAGAACCATGCACCTTTTTTCTTTACAGATGGTACATATATCTATCTTTAACATTTTCACAAATAATCATTTTACTATTTTCTGAATTGTTGTGAACTGAACTACAATAATAAAGATTGAATAAATATAAAGATGTTTCTATTTTTAATGACCCGCCCTGTAGATGACCCCCAAGTGTGGACACTTATCATAAGTCGTTGACCTGGCTTCTTTGCCTTGAATTATTTGTAAACGTTGATTGAATTATGGGGACATTATTCTAATCATCTAAATTCTCAGTAATGAACCTGAAAAGACGGTGTGTCAACATATACTATGAAATTACTTATTGCTTTACATTTTTTTGCGAAAATCATAAAAGGGGGAGGTGAAGCTAGGGCAAATGTTTTTAATGATAATTGTGGTGTACATATATTTCCAAGCATGTCCAGTCATAATTTCTATAAAATTGAACAAACAAACCATGGGTCTTTTTAAAATCGGTATTGTATAATTTTACATCCTTTTGATGATTTTAATCCTTTAAGAAGCAAAGCACTGAAGACAATGGGTATGGTGCTTTGGTACATCTAATCACCTTTTTTTATAAAAATCAATGTAACATAGTTACAGGTTGTAGTGGCTATGACTCACTCCCAAGAGATAATTGTATTTACAATGACTATTTGTAGGAGTGATGATATAATTTTAATGTTTGTTACAATGTCAAAATGACACATGTTTATTCTTGTATGATTTACTTGTCTGCATACTGTATATTGTATTTCTGAAAATCAAATCAAATCATTATACTAGTACAAACAAAATGGTTTCATTGGATCAAACTCGCATCAATACAATAATACATTTAATTACTTGGTTAAAACATTTCAAGGATCTCTACGCCTTAATCTAATATTACCTTTTTTAGCGTTCCAATAAGTCCACCATGGCCTACATGCCTAAGTCCTTCAACAAACTTTTTCCAAATAGTAGCATCATCTCCTTCTTGCCTCTGCAACCATTTAGTTAACAAAGCAGGGACCCAATTCCCTCGTGCATGCTTGTAATCACTTCTTATGTTGTCTAGTTCTTTATTTAAATCAAAATGGCTTGCAAGTTTCCCGAATTGGGTGTCGTCCAGGTCGATGTCAAACCATATCTTATTCCAAGGAGGAGAATCTAAAATGAGAATATTTAAAAAATTCGCACTTAACATTCTCATAGAATAAACCTGAGGGTCCTTAAACTGAGCCTTGGTAAATGTCTTATTCATACGTTTGAGGTTTTTGCTCTAGTTTGTGGGTATTTATGGTGACATATTGATTTCTCTTTCTAACTCGCCCCATTCTCAAGTACAAAGGAACTGGACGATGTGCTTTTGGTGCCAAATTTGTAAGTACTCATTTATTTCAAAGTTTTGAAATAATATAAGCCTTTCCTCCTCATAGAAACCTCGCCCATGCTACGCCTCAACATCTTTTCTGAACAGATCATCTCAAAATCTTCTAGAAAGTACGACAATTTCTTGAAAAAATTTCATTTTCACAAAATCCATCATATTTCCGACATCTTGAGTAATATCATCATGTTGTAGGCCTAGTGACTAAATTGTGAATAAAATCATTTTACATCATCAAGACACATCTCGTAAGTTTCCCAAATAAATGGAAAAATTCGGAATAATTAATTAATTTGTACGACGTGAAGGAAATGTGCGTTGAACAGTTACGCGAGTCGCAGTCCGCAACTGCGCCATCGTTTTGATTCTCCACCTTGATAATATTTTTTATTTAAGAAATATAGACAGAAGACCAGGGGTAATATTATCGATTGACTTCGGTCTACATTCCTTAATTCGAACATGACTGTTTTCACGCCTATTATAAACTGTGAACAAATTCAATATTTCATCCGGGTTATATTCGCGAACAATTCCCCTGGTAATACACCAAAATGTTTCGAATATTCATTATGGCCATTACTACGACCCGCCGTTGTGACGTCACACATTACACGTATTACCAGGGTTATTCTTCGCGATTATACCCCGGGTGAAATGTTGACTTTGTTTACAGTTTATAGAAGGCGTGAATACAGTCATGTTCGAATTATTGTTCCTAAGATGTTTGAGCATCTGATAAAGATAATGTCCATCCAAAGTTTGCACGCTATATTGACGTAATCTATGACTAAAATCGGGAACATAAAAAGATGTGTTATTCTTTCAGAATTGCTTACAATAATTATTTACAAAAATGTTTCTGACACTCATACAGGTAGTCGAGGGTTTGTTTTAAAGTAAGAAAGCCCCTATGATACAATACAAACCCAAAAAATCGGGAAACTGCAATTTTTTTAATCCAATGTTTTACGTTCATGTATGCAAGTAAAGTAAATCTGATCCCCATATAACACACTGCACGTTAAACACTGGCGTATGTGACATGCACTCACATGTTCAAACTGTAATATAAAACCTTTTCAATATGGCCATTACTTCCGTATACAATGTCACCTGCTTAATAAGGCATTGTATTCTTCAAATAAAACCTTTTGTAAATACTTTAAACGAACAATTTGTTTGTCGTACTATGTCCCGATCTCATGTCATTTACAGAAATACCAGCTAGAAATGGTACATCTATTTCTCGTGAGACTCTTGAAAATGCTTTTAACATGATACATACCATATTACATATATATCAAAACTCACGTTATTGAATTTTAAAGTGCACATTTTACCATGTAAAACCTTGCATTAAGTGATTTTAAAATATGGTAATTTGATCATAACTTTTTATTCCTTATCCAATTTACCTCAAATTTGGTATGGGGCGACATTTTCCATTTGTTGAAAAGGCAAGATCTTAAGAGAAAAATCCAATGTGGCCGCCTTAAAATTTAGCAGGACTACCCAAAGACAGTAGTTTGGGATTGTCATACAAAGAATCGTTCCTGGAAATTTGAAATCGATCTTTCAACTGGTTTGCCTGGAAACGTGTAGACAAGACTTTACTGAGAGGATTTTGGGAGAAAATCCAAAATGACCACCTTAAAATTTAACCAGAATTAATCAGTCCCAAATTTTTCATACTAAGAATTATCCCTGAAAATTTAAAATTGATCCCTCAAACAGTTAAATGAAAAACGCAAAGACACGACTTTACAGACAAGATTTTAGAACGGAAAACCAAGAATGCTGAAAAACTTATTAGTTCTAGATTTTCATATTATACTGGTAATCATTCCTTAAAATTTGAAATCGATCCGTGAAACTGTTATCCTGAAAATGGGTAGACAAGCCTTCACAGACACGACTTTAGGACGGAAAAGCCAGAATGGCCATTTTAAAATTTACGTAGAATGACGAAAAAGTACAAGATAGTCATAAGTTCTAGATTTTCATACTAAGAATCATTCCTAAAAAATTGAAATTGATCCCTCAAACAGTTAACCTGAAAATGCATAGACAAGACTTTACAGACAAGATTTTAGGACGGAAAATCCAAAATTGCTGCCTTAACATTTACCAAGAATGCCAAAAAAAACTAATCAGTTCTAGATTTTCATACTAAGAATCATCCCTGAAAATTTGAAATTAATCTGTAAAATGGTTACCCTGAAAATGAGTAGACAAGACTTTACCGACACAATTTTAGGACCCCTTAAAATTTACTCAGAATGCAAAAAATAGTCAGTTCTAGATTGTCATACTAAGAACTAAGGGAACATGGGGCAAAACGGCCCTTTGGGGCAAAGTGGCCCATCGAAATAACTTTTGAATTATAAAAAGATGGTTTTTCAAAAGTCACATAATCGAATTTTGAAATTTCCGCCACCTTCTCGACCGCCCATTTTTAACCTAGCAGCATTTCGCTTTATGTAAGAGATAATTCTACTTTTCACTCTTTTTTTGCAAATTAGCCCTCCCACGAGAATCTCTAAAAAATTCGGCAGCAATAGAATATCGTTTTGATTTAACATTTTACTTAGAGTATGCATATTTATTCTTTATTTGTAAAAAGTTCGAGCTACAAATATCAGGAAAATTAAAATGACATCTATTTGAAAATTCACATGTGTCTGGGGCAAAGCGGCCCACAAAGGTTATAACATACAAAAATCGTATTGTACAAGGTAAATTGATTTTCAAATATAACGATTTTAACATTTGGTTTGTACCTTATTTCACTCCGACACATATCGAATGACTAGAATTATGGTAGCGGTGAAGAGTACTTTATCTGTCAAAGGTTTGAACGTCTGAGATAAGATGTGCGTGGACGAGTCTTGTAACTGATTAATTTTGCTTTTAAAACCCATGTAACAGAGGGTGGGCCGCTTTGCCCCACCTATGGGCCGTTTTGCCCCTCTCGACATTATTTTGACCATTGAAAATCACAGAAGATAGTCCTAGGCAAGTATAAAACATTCGAAAAAATGTAAACCACAACCCATTAATAAAGTGGAACATCAAAGTGCGTGATGATTGACAGATAAGAAAATACCCCGTACGGAACAACTCAAAATTAAATTTTTAGGGCCGCTTTGCCCCAGGTTCCCTTACCCCTCAAAATTAGAAATTGATCCGTCAAACAGTTAACCAGAAAACGCGTAGAACGCGTAGAATAAAAAAGTAATAAAAAAACAACAAAAAAAAAACGCGTAGACAAGACTTTACAGACAAGATTTTAGAACGGAAAATCCAAAATGGCTGCCTTGACATTTACAAAGAATGCAAAAAAAACTAATCAGTTCTAGATTTTCATACTAAGAATCATCCCTGAATATTTGAAATTGATCTACCAAACGGTTCACCTTAAAACGCGTAGACAAGAATTTACAAACACGATTTTAGGACGGAAAAACAAATATGGCTGCCTTGACATTTACCAAGAATTCCAAAAACTAATCAGATCAAGATTTTCATAGTAAAAATCACCCCTGGAAATTTAAAATTGATCTACCAAACGGTTCACTTGAAAACGCGTAGACAGGACTTTACAGACAAGATTTTAGGATGGAAAAATCCAAAATGGCCGACAATAAGAAAGTGATTATCAGTTTTTGCTGATTTCTTTTTACAAAATGATCACATATAACTACTGTTAACAATAACATAGGCTTTTACAACAAAGAACACCTGAAATTAATTAATAAAGCTACTAAATAGTTAGAGTATGGAAACTCAAAAACACCATTCAAATAGGATACAAAGTATTATCAGGCGCTAACTTTTCTCAAGACATTCAAAATGGCTGCGCTAACAGGTCCGAAATCTAATCAGATGTAGAATGTGAGCTGAACAAGATGATTAAGTTTTAAAAGCAACTGTAAAACCGTTTTCTTAAAAATTGCAGACAAGGATTTAAGCATTTGACTTCTAAATGACCGACAGAAAGTAGGTATCGAGTTGTAATTTTTTTATCCACATCTGTATGCACTCATAAGTTATCCCTGATAATTTGAAGGTGATATCTGTAGCGGTTTTGGAAAAAAACTGCCGGACCTAAGGACGGACGGACGGACGGACGGACTGACGGACGGAGGGCTTCACTATATCCCTACCGAACTTCGTTCCTTGGGATAATAATAGTAACCCTGTAATATCAAGTCCCAAACAAGTCAACATCTTCATTATATTACTACAGGGTTTCTTTAAATTGTAATTGTAGTCGGTGATACGTTGCATATTTGGTAATTAGCTATTAGTAAGCTTGTGGCGTTAAATCAGAACGTACGCAGGGTATCGGCGTACAGCTAACAATTATTGAATGAAGTTAAGTAAGACAGTAAGAAAAATGAAACAATTCAGCATTTGTGAAGTCTATATTATCCGGTATATCACCATGACATTATGCGTAGTTTTCGTCGTTTTAAATAAAAAATCTCCGAGAACGACCTAGCTAGCAAATAAGTAGACCTAAAATAAGTACAGATTTCTCAAAAAGTCCCAACAGAGTAATTCTACCTAGTTGTAAATTTCGAACATTAAGCATACGTGTTTTGTTATTTGGGCAAAAAATTGAAACTTTCAAAAACTACGAATGAGACTCACCGGACATTGTCTTTGTTGGATTGTGTTATGTTCGAGTCTGTTGGCTCCAAAACTCTCTAATTTACATTGCCAACGATATAATATAAATATGTACTTTATTAAAACGAAAGCAATTTCGTCATATGTGCACAATCTTACATTGGGTCAAGTATGATTTAATTTTAGTGCATTCAAAACGAAACTAGATGATACGTCACGTCATGCACATATATATTTGCGTTCATGTTTACAACTAAATACACCTCCTTGTTCCTATTGAGATTTACAATACCTGGACTGTCTTTATAAGCATAATTTAATCTACAAATCAACAATTTTTAGGGGAAATTGTTATTATTTAAAT